GTCAATATTCACACGCGAATCAAAGTATCAAACTATCAAAGTATAAAACACATATTCTAATAATGGAGTTAATAAAAAGTTATATATCATCAAACTCAGGCCCTTCTTATCCTTCTCATGCACCTATAACAGTATGTAAAAGGATATCCCTTACCCAATAGAGAATAGCGGAGGAGAAGCGGTGACAAGACAATTAACGGTGGGGAGAGAAGAACCAATAAGGTGGAGGAGATCACCGGAACAGAGAGACTGGATCTGGATCTGGGATAAAAGATCAGAAGAGAAGAAAAAGGACGATTCAGATTTCAGATCTAGTTCTAAATCTAGGTAGCAGCGAGTTTTTCATTTTACACATCAAACGACGTCATTTCATGTGTAATTTTAAAAAAAAAATACAATGACCCCTCTGACCCGAGAGTCACAGGTTCAACCGAATGGTTTCGAGAGTTAGAGGGGTCAACGTGCAAGTAAAGTCTAACTACTAACCCGAACTCTCATAGAGTGAGTGACCTGGAGGGGTCAACCCCAGAGTGAGGTGAGATTTTAAAACACTGTTTATCACATTTTTTTTCTAAAAATTTAAAAACCGTTTTCGGAAATACAATTCAAACATGCCCTCAGATTCCTACTCTTCATAACATAAATATTATATCAACATAGTGTTGTGCTTGCCAGTGAAATTACTGGGTATGTTAAAAAGAAAACTAGATTGAGTAGGTTATGTAAAGCTTTTAGACAAAACCGGAGACTATGCTAACTTGCTAAGCTACATATCACAATTTCACCAAACAAATATATGCCTCCGAAGAGGATTATTCTCTCGGGGGTGTTTAGTATAGGAGGAAAAAAATTTATCTGGAAATTTTGATTTCTGAAAATATACTAGGAAAATAAGTTTTTCGAGAATGTTACTAGAAGGTTGTTTGGTTGGTCAAAATATTACTGGGAATATTGAGTTGAATTTCTGAATGTTATGCTTGACTTTGGTACATGAGAAAAAAAAAATTATCCGGGAATCTCGATTTTCAGAAATATGATTTTTACATTCAATTTACGATAATATCCGAAAATTAAAAATTTAGAAAAATTCAATTTTCCAAAAATCCTGAAAAATACCGCGTAGCAAACGCCCCCTTTAAAAATAAAATATTACCGGGAATATCTATAGAATTTACAAAAATAACCTAACTTTCGGAGTCTTTTATCGTTCACTTTATCAACCCCATCAACACAACACCTATTAGGAATGTTGCTACAGCAAGAATTATTGTGTACCTTCTTTCAATCCAATTTGAAGTTTTTCCTGAAGCTAGAGATCCAATCAAATAACCACCTGTTATTAATGAACCCCACAAGTATTTCTACTTGGACTGGTCTATTGAAGAAAGCTGAGAAAAAAGATGGAGAAGGAACTGATGCATTGATGCGTGACGAAGGAGAGCCCAGTGGACTCATGGCTTCTGACTGTGAAAAGCAAGGGTACAATAGTCCCCAAAATTATGTTTATTTTTCCCAACAAACCGGATTATAGGAATACTACATATTTTGTAGTAATTTTACACAGCATTTCTAACCACATTTTGCACTAAAATCAAAACCATGGGTAAATTGGAATCAAGGATAAAAATTTAGATTTCTTCTGCTAAACATGGATATATCACAATCCCAATATCACTTTTTCAGGCTTTTAAAATAAATACACCTACCAAACAGCCCCTTAGAGGCTTAGACCAAAACATGGTCATCTGTCTAGTATGCCTATTCTCATTTAAATATTCCGTAGGTACTTAAATTAGTGTTTTTAGCAGTGGGAATCAACCCTTATATTAAAATAAGATAGATTATTTTAATTTTTTTTCCATACCTATTTTATATATTTCTATCAGCATGCTTAGATCACAACACCTTTAACCCTTTCTCTTTTCTGTAACCAACTTTTTATCTAGAGATTATGATTTAATCGTGAGGAGAAAAATAAGTAAAAAAAAAAAATGTATACATAATATCATATCCTTTTTTTTTTGTTTGGTAAACTACATAATATCATATCCTTATTAAAATTGCATATAACAAATCTCATAATTTTGTCATATGAAAATTTTATGTTTATCTCTCTTAATAAATATTTAGATTCTGAATTAATTTTTTCGTATGAATAAAGAATAATATTTTTGTTGAGGTCATGTATCAAGAATTAATATTTAGAAAAACAAAATCTAATCTATCAAACTTAAGGAGTGAGGATTCAACTCTGACATAAAGAATTTCTCTTCGGGATTCAACAAATGTATCAATGGAAGTCAGCCATGAGCGTGTAAAATTATATAGACAGAGACACCTCAAAAAGGTTGTCTGGTGGTAACTACATAGTTTAGAGAACAAATTCAACAATTTCAATAATATTGGGAAAGCCGTGTTCTAGTTGTTGCCACCTTCGTTTAGACTTTAATGTGTGTGTTCATGCTTGTGCTAGTTCCAAGAAACAGGTTTAGTTTCCCTTTTCTCAATCCCAATTCGCCCTTTTTGGGATTTTATGTTTCATCCGAGTTCAATTCATATTATAGTTGCTTTCATAGGAGACATACTTGAAACTGTTAAATGTCATGTCCCTCGTTAGGTACGGAACACCATGGCTAGCTCTTGCCATAATTAAGAGTTGCACAAAGACATTAATAAACAATAACAATTAACACGAAATTTTCAACTAATAAAATAAGAACTTAATTTTTCTGTGTAAAATTACACTTACCATCAAATGATATATATTGAAGCATAAATTAATAAGTTTGACGTCTTATGTAATTTTGAACATAGTCAAACTTATTAAATAATGTATTAAAATTGAACTCATGCATAATAAGAATTCAAAACTTGAAAAGTTCATACGTAACTACCTATATAATAATGACAAAGGTTGGTTTCGATGTTTAGTTAAAGTAGGAAGCTGTAAGTAGGTGCTATATTCACATCTTCTGATTTTTATGATCTAAATAAAACAAAATGTGAAAGTGAATGTAATTTTCATTTTGCTTAATTTAACTCAAAATCATAAATTTAACGCTGTCGATTGCTTTTCTTGTTTGAGTTTTATTGGTATAAATTTCAAATAATAATAAATTAAATTTGAAATTTCTTGTGCATAATGGATAAGAATATATTTAAGAAAAATTATATTTTTTTTATTTTTGACAACTTCTATATGTGCATATTTGTTTTTTTTATGCAGCAGACGAACTCCAGTCTAGAAAATAAAACGACCATACATACACCGTCAGCATAACTGCGAGTTTCTACCATTGATCAATTTAAAAGTCGTTTATTTGTATTTACAAGCGGATCATATATTTGAATTTGCTTAATTTAAATAATAACTTTATTTTCACAAACTTCAATGGTGACATTTTGTTATTATAAATTATTTTAAGCACAAAATAAGTTAATTTAATTAAAAACAATAGGGTACAATAATGAAAATTTTACAGATTTGTCCAAATAAATATAAAAGTATGAGTCCCTTACACTGGATTAATCTCATAACCAGCTTAAAGAGTCAAAATTTGTGGAAAAAATCGGAGAAACCTACTCACTTCAAAGAAGTAATTAGAGTTAATATTAAAAAAAAAAGTATGATTCCTCTTCCAACGACCCCAGCTTATATATGTACCTTTAATTGCTAATTACTTCAAAGAAAACTAATTTCCGTGGTGTATAGTTGTTGAATCCAAATATATATGAAGTCTAGTACTTATATATATAAAAATTTAAAGCGTGTTATATAGTGTCAGTTTCTTCAATCTTCATATATCTATTGCTAACAACCTCCCTCATTTAAGAAGACCAACCACCAATGTCTTAGAATCAACTTGTATTTACTGGGTTATTTCTTATCAATTGAATGAAAAAATTTCAACCACATGACAATGATGCTAGTACGTACTCCAACTTCAAGGCATCAATTGTGTGAATGCTAAGAAGAAGAAAAAAAGTATACAAGGTTTCCTATACTGAAGAGAACATTTCCAGATTCAAAAACTTGTTGGAACAGTATCTAAAGCATTAATGGTCATGCACTTCATTATAAACCAGTATTCGTGACCCTTATACCACTGTCTCATATTTTTTCTTTCTCTCTTAATCCTTGATTACAATTGATGTTGGTAGAGTTATATAAAATCATTAATGTAGCCTCGGTGTCATGGGTTTGATCATCACCGCCTTCCATTTAATTAATAATTAATTAAGTCTTACGGAATTTCTTAATACAGATAGGTGGGCCTGGGTATTGTCCATCTTTTAAGCTCAGCTCGTGTGAAGGAACATATTAAAGTTATATAAAAATATTAATGTAACCTCATCCAACAGTTTAAGCTTTTGCATTCGTGGTTCTTTGTAGATATAAAGTTAATTAGTTAGAATTTTATCAGAACCAAACAAAAAATTGTACAGCCGTCTAGGACTAAGAAGGAAGGTTAGTGCTTTAGCTGAATTTTCAAAGTTCTGATAAACCACTTATCAGTGTCATCACTAATCTCTATCTCCATGCTACTATATTTATAAAGTAATCAGTTGTAAAAAGAAAAAGGAAAATCCCTTTAATAACTGTGATACTTGTATATGTATCTTACTGGCAAATCAAGAAAGAGAGAGAAGAGAAGTTATAGTGAGAATAATAATGTCAATAAAGGAAGACCAAATAGAAAACCAGGGATATGAATTGTAATCATGATTAATTCTGCTTACAATAAAGAACTATACTTAGATTGGCATAGGAGATATAGATATATATATGCTCTTGCATGTCTGATGTACATTTTATATAGATATTTCAGAAAAGCACACTTAAAATAGCTTAAGTCAAAACAGACATTAATTTTCTGTAGTCATATATGCTAGCAAACCTAAACATTTCACCCTAGCTAGAATGTCTTGATTGCTGTTCTTTCTTTTCAATTCAGGGCTTCAGATACAACCTCAATGAAGTAGGGATGATATAGTGTTGCTTAGTTGTGGTGAGGAGGATGTGTCTTCGGTGGTGCATAGTCCAAGTTAAACCCAGGATGTTTCTGACTAGGTTTCTTGTGAGGCACACGCCAAGAAACTGAAACAAGAGATTCACTTTGTGAAGCACCTGAAGCTTTCCCCTTAGCTTTGAGCACCCTCTGGTTAGTGCTGCTTCTTTTTTTCAGCTTCTCAGAGTCAGCAACAAACCGAGTCTCCATCTTTTTATTATCACCTTCATTAAGCTCCTTTGGAGAGGAATCAAATCCATTTTTCTCATCACTCTGCATAAAATGAAAGCTTTGTGAGGCATATAAGCTTTAAATATGAAGGCTAATAATGGACAATTAATATCAATATAACCATTCCTTATTAAATCTCGAGGGTAGAGGTGAGGATAATTTTTATATGTAGCCTTATACTTACATATTTGCACAGAGACTATTTTTCTAATTTAAACCCGTGACTTCTCAGTCAAAGGAGCAGTTTTATCATTGCTCCAGGCTCATCCTCTTGGACAATTAATATAAACATGTAATAAACAAATTTTGTACTTGATAGCTAGACAAATTACCTTGACAGAGATGTGGGATTTCTTCTCTAGCTTCTTGTCAAGAGGGCTAAGATGCCGGGCATTACATGCATGCAAGGAAATGCACAGAAACAAAAGAAGAAGATATGCAATTGACATGTTAAGAGACAGATATGGTCTGAAATATTTTTGAGCAAAACTTTAATGTGGGATAGGGAAAATGTAGTGAAGGTAGCAGAAGTATTTATAGTAACAAGGAAATAAATGTGCATTAAATGCAATAACTAAAGGAGGAATAAGAAGATTTCTTGCAGAACATGGAGTTGTAGGGGGTGAAAGAAGTAATGAGAGAAAATGAAGATATGGTAGCCACTTCTCTTTTGTCCCTTCCTTTTGATATTTCAATTTATTGGGCCCCAAGAGAAGGAAGAGAAAGAAGAGAAGAAACATAAATACCTCTTCAGAGATATATACAAGGAGAAAGAGTGTGTCCAAAATAGAGATTTTACTTCTGGAAATGACATTAGGCTCATTAGATCAGGGGATACGCTAAGTGAAACATGAACCAAAATCAAGAATGCCATTGCCTCCCATATTGGTTCTACCGAGGAGCTTTTCATTCCCTGTCTTTTTGTTAAGGGCTCTTCATCAAAATTTGAATGGCTAGTGCCCCTTGTTTCTTGCCTTTTTGCCTTCCCTTTTCTCTCCTTGGGAACTATAAACAATATTATACTAACTATTGAAAGTTGGAACACTTTTTAGATCTTTAGTCACTTAAAAACAAGAACAATTTCCACATTAACCTATTGAAACATCCGTTGCCCACCATAAAAAAAGAGAACAATGATCAAAGTCAATATTAATGTACAACAGGCTGTGAAAAGCTCTGGGCTATTAGGAATACACTACATTTTTGGCATTGTTTGAGAAGGATAACTAAGAGGGTCAGCTATATTAGCTCTAAATTAGTGTTATCATCATCTTATCATATGTATATAGTAAATTTGGCAGAAATCATTTTGTAATATTAAATTATAACTCTATCTCTTGGCCATTGAACCTTGCACCATAAATGCCGTCCATGATCTTTTACTTTTTTCCCCATCATTTTATGCTTTTTTTTTCTCTCTTGACTGAACAATAATTACTAGAAAACACTTTCAGTGTAGTAAGAACAAGGTTAAATGCAACTTGAATATGTTACTGTTAAAAATGTTTATACAGAGTAGATAGATGCAAGGCATTGTGAATAGAAGGAAAAAAAAAAAAATTCTTACATTAAATATTTAACACACACACAAACACCCGGAGAGAGAGATGAATGACACAAAAATATTTGTCATTTTACATGACCGGTGAAAAACTCACATGGAGGAATCAATTTCCAAATTAATATAGACATCCATAGGGGCCGTAACACTTGATGGATGACATCCAAAAAGAAAAGGGTTGATACGTGGGGGATAGTTGTTAGAATCGTTCTTATTCTTATGTGGGTGTGTGACTGCAAGGAAATGCGAATGAAAGATGTCATACATTAAGTAAGAAGAAAAAGAGATGATTTGCTACCTTTATTTTTAGGGTTTGGTATCTCTCGTATCATAGTAGATAAAATTATCTCATATACATGTTTGGGGCTTATGTGGAACCATGTGAAGAGAAGAAAGAGAGAGAAAAAACATAGACCCCACATATTTTAATGTGTAAATAGGAAATAGTTTTATCTCCTACAACATAAAAGATATTAAATCTTTTTTTTATTTTATTTTTGTCATATGGTTGCCCAAATCAAGCCATAACTAATGTTAAAAAGTATAGGCATTAAACAGAGACAAATTCACGTTCGAAACTTCTATTATTCGAAATGAAATATCTTATTATTTGCATCCCCCCAACCCCCAAATTGGTACGATGTAATCTTAATTGTTAGGACCCTTAAATAGTTCATGTTGCGACTTCAGCAAGTACATCGATCATAAAAATAATAAAAATCCACATGAATACAAAATTGTTCCCTTGAGAATTAGAGTTTAAGCACTAGTTCACAATACGTGCTTTATTTGGAAAAACAATTATGAAAAACTTTGAATTTAAAACTAAAATTGATCAAAAGCATAAGAATTCAGATTAAAAATAAGAAAATAAATGGAAGTGGTTTTAACAATCAAGAAAAGTGTAGTTAGGGTTTCGATTTTCCTCAATTTTCTCTTTATGTTATGAATTAAATCATTAAGTATCTGCCCTTAATATATTTCCAATTCAATCCTCTAATTTCATTGGGACTCAATCCCTTGACACCCCAATTCAATATAATCTTGAAAGAATCTTAATTCCCCGGATATTTCTCAAAAAAATATACATTGAGATCAAAAATCATACAATTGCATAATTACCCTATGTCTATCCTATATCACAAGGATTATAATGAATTTATCAATTCAAGGTTCATGCACCAACATCCTTATTGTCATACAATTTTCCTAAATCAATCTACAAGGAGCAAACTCATAGAAAGCATGAATAACAGATAAATTCATTCAATTATAAAAAAAGTTACACAGACAATTTAATTCATAACAAAAAGTATCAATTGAGTTCCATATATCCCTAACTACAGAGAAATCTAGCCTACCATAGAGAAATCAAAAACAAGATAAAGAAATAAAGGTTCCCCAAACTCCATTGGTGTAATGGTGAGGTGAATTCTCAAAACTTCCAGCCTGTTCTTGAAATCAACCTGCTCTTGATGCTCCAAAGTATGAAAGACGCGCTTATATCACCAAAGTAGGATTCTCTCTTCTGAATTGTCAAAAGCTCCTCTTAATGGATCTGAAATTTCCTTTTATATGAGTGAGATATGTGCTCTAAGTGAAAACAACGAGCTGGGCCTTTATTGGATCGCAGATGAGCGTTACAACGCTGGTTAGAGCGCTTTAACGTGCTTGCTTTGATTTTCTTACTAGAAAAAAGCATTTTAACGCTCTCTAGCGCAGTGTAATGCGCTCATCGAAGGAAAAATTTCTTTATAACAGCGCGTTGTAACGCTTTGGAGCGCGTTAAAACGTTCTCCTACCAAAGCTTTCCTTCATATTTTTGGAACAGTGACCATTTTGCCACACTTCACCAAATTATTTACCAGACTGCCACACCAACAGTAAAAATTCTCGGAATGCCACGCGGCATAATTCGCTACACTGTGCAGCGAAATATGCTTGCAAATAATTCGCTACACAGTGTAGAGAATTATGTCATGTCAGGCTGCACAGTCAGCAAAAATGAATGTGTCAAGCAGGTAGTAATTCGCTACACTGTGTATCGAATTATGCTTGAATTACTGCCTGCTTGACACGTGTCATTATTGCTGATTGTGCAGCCTAACATGGCATAATTCGCTACACTGTGTAGCGAATTATTTGAAAGCATATTTCGCTACACAGTGTAGCGAATTATGCCAGGTGGCATTCTAGGAAAATTTATTGTTGGCGTGGCAGTCTGGTAAATATTTTGGCCAGGCGTGGCATTCCTATATTTTTCATGCAATTAGCGCGTTTGAATGCTCTAAAGCTCGTTAAAACGTGCTCTTATCGAAGCTTTCCTTTATGTTTTCCATGTAATTAGTGCATTTGAACACTCTGAAGCGCGTTAAAACACGCTCGTACTGAAGCTTTCCTTCATATTTTCCATCAATAGTGCTTTAACGCTCTCCCTCAATGTTGAATTAGCTTCTTGATTGCATTCTAGGACTTCTTTGATCTTCCATTTCCTACTCCAAGTCCTTTGCTCCATTCTTGCTCAAATTCATATCAATTTACCTTCAAAACCAATAAAAACAAGATATGTTAGATTAACATCCAACTTTCATGCTTTTTACTATAAAACATAAGAATTCATGTCTTTGACTATGTAATTCATGTGATACTAGCCCTAAAAACATGATAAACTAAAGGTTTATCAGTTCACGCGAAAGCAGTTTTCCCAATCGGCACAATTAGCTTTACTGCTAGGCACACACACAATATGACAGTATGAAGTCTTCAAGCTTACCGCTCAGCAATTCAGCATTACCGCTCGACAACACTAGAAAATAGTACCAACTCAAAAATGAATTATAGTAACCGATCAGTCAAGAAATGTAGAAAACAACGAAATGTAAGAGATGAGAGATGGAGAAAAAACACAACAAATTTTAACGTAAAAAATCTCCCCTAAGGTTGAGTAGTAAAACCATGGGACATTAATCTAGAAAATCTTCCACTATGAATAATAGGATTACAAAGAGATCAAACTTCTCTACTCACACTAGAATAACAGTAATGGTTACAAAGTTTTTCTCTAAAGAGGTCTCTTACTCAAACTTCTCTTCAGAAGATTCACACATTCACACAATGTCTAAGCTTCGCTAACTTATTACAGAAGGTTTCTTGTGATTATATAAGTGAGAAGAAACTACATTTTCTTCTAGAGTCTTTATAGATAATGGGATAGGCAACATTTATTGAGGTGGTTGTGAGTAGGGGTGGTAAACGAACCAGGGGATTTTGGCTCGGCTAGTGAAGGCCTGAGCTTTCATGTCTAAAATTGGTTGTTGGAACCAGGCTTGGACTTGTATAAAAGCTCGTTTAATAAAAAGGCCTCAAGCACCAATTCAAAAACTCATCCTTAGAGCCTCCTAGGCTAGCCTAGTATATTAATTTTTATTTTTATTTTATATTTTTGGGAAAGGTTACACTTACAACCTATTTTCGTTTACAGCCTCTTACAATCATATCTTAACCGTTGATTTCTGTCAATCAATGGTTAAGATTTTCGCAAAAATGAATTTATTAATTATTTATTAATTCGCAATAAATGATAATCGTTGATTGGAAGAAATCAACGGTTAATATATAATTGTAAGAAGTTATAAACAAAAATAGGTTGTAAATATAACCTTCCCCTATATTTTTATACTACTTTTAGTAGCTGTCTCTCTCTCCTCAATCTATTTCACCTCATTTTATTGGTTAAACAGAATTTTTGAATGATTTTGTTCTATATTATGCTGTTTAGATGTACATTGAATTTATGAATATTTATGAAATTACTAGTGCTGTTGATTGTATATTTGTTTGGATAAATTTTTGTTATCTTATTTTTTTTAAACAGGCTAAACTAGGTCT